GAAACTATAATTCTTTTTAAATAAACAAATAAGTAAGAAAATTAGAATGAATAATTTACTTATTTTAGTTTCTCCACCCTCGTGTCAAATCAAGTATTTAACAAGTTACTCACTTTAAAAGAGAAACTCGATAAGACACAAAAACATTTAAAAAAAGGAAAGAGTGCTTCGCAAAATATTAAGACCAAGAAGCAAACAAAAAGGCGAATAACAGAACTGTCCTCAAATAGTTTAATTTACCTATGCAAATTAAATTCAAGTAATAATTACAGTTCAGATTTGTTACTTTTCATCAGTAAATGAATATTTCACATTTATTTTGACAAGGATAATTCCTGTAAGAACGTAAAATAAAATGTAATTAATATGGGAAAAGAAAATAAAGGTTGGAAATAATTTTAGAAAGTTTCAAAACAAAATGCTTCAAAAGCCTTTATTCACCTTTTTTTGCTTGAATTAGTAGTTCATCGTGTGTTTTAAGCAAGAAAATAAAATTAAAATTTGAAATAGAAATAATTATAACTTTTAATTACTGACATGTAATATATGTTTTGTTGAAATCATTAATTAAGTTTTCAGAACCTTAACAGATGAATTTCAACTACAAAATATCCATAAATGATGGGGGAAAAATATATAACGTATTTTATATGAAAATCTATCAAATGTTTTAGAAAAACTAATTTCAAGTTCTTCTAAATTATTTTATGTATTTTTTTAAATAAACAATTAAGTAAAATATGAAATAACGTCAAACCGATAAATAGTTTTGTTATTTATATATTAGTGAATGTTCTAAATAATTTATGTTCTATATTGTTCTATATTAAGCATTTGTTTTCCAAATCAGCAGAAATCTTTCTGAAAAAACAAAACGTGTCTCCATAAGGGAGTTTGAATTCGGCTAAATTATTTTGGTATTTTTTGAAAAGAACCCAATGAACGAAAGAAAGAAGTAACCAGCGGTTTTTGTCCATTTCATGATTTTGCTGCATTAACTACTTAAACAGTTTAAAAGGAGAAAGTTTGTAAAAAAATTAGTTTAAAAATTCATTTTTCAATCATTTTTTATTTGAATTATTTTAAAAAAGCACATAATATACATTTTTTAAAAAATATCTGAAAAGCATAAGTTACGGTGGAACAAGTTGAATTTGTACCCAAGTGTTTGATGTATGTGTAGATAAATGTTCGAAATAATTAATAAATAATAAAAGAATGTCACATTTGATTAATTAATTATGATATTGCTTTTTTAATTTTTAAGATATTAGTCACAAATGTTAATAAATGCTTAGAAATATCTATGGCTTAAATGTAAACTGCTGTTTGTAGAAAATGCAACACCATGAAAGAATCATCAGAATCAAATGAAATTTAATGCAGAAACGACTTGTACTGATACAAATAAATGATGAAATTTTCAAAACAAAAGAAACAAATTAAGCGTCCGAAATCAGTATTTGGTGCAGNTTTCCAAATCAGCAGAAATCTTTCTGAAAAAACAAAACGTGTCTCCATAAGGGAGTTTGAATTCGGCTAAATGATTTTGGCATTTTTTGAAAAGAACCCAATAAAAAAAAATTAAAAAAAATAACCAGCGGTTTTTGTCCACTTCATGATTTTGCTGCATTAACTACTTAAACAGTTTAAAAGGAAAAAGTTTGTAAAAAATTAGTTTAAAAGTTTATTTTTCAATTATTTCTTATTTGAATTATTTTAAAAAAGCATATAGCATGCATTTTTAAAAATATATCTGAAAAACGTAAGTTATGGTTGAATTTGCACCCAAGTGTTTGATGTATGTATAGATAAATGTTCAAAGTAAATAATAAATAATAAAAGAATGTCACATTTGATTAATTAATTATGATATTGCTTTTTCAATTTTTAAGATATTAGTCACAAATGTTAATAAATGTATTTTTAAGCCATAGATTATTCTAAGCCTGTTCGATACGCGTGTTAAATTGACTTAAACCACTACTACACAGAAAACAATCCAGCCACAGTAATAAATTATTAGTTTATGTTAAATTGAGGAATCAAATTTGGCATAAAAGCTTTCACATGAAAATAGATAAAAATTCTTCACAAAGAAAATAGAACAATTCTGAACACTTATTTTAGTTTGTTTTAAGACAAAGGGAAGATTCATAACTATTAAAAAATTAAAACTCTTTTAACATTGCTGAGCAACAATTTATAATAATTTATTTCATAATACATTTTTCTCTCTAGAAAGTCTATCAATAAGACTTGTAACATTTATATATCAATCAAGCAAAATTGAAAGTATTCAAACAATTCGGTTTGTTGTCTTCTGATGTTAAATGTATAGACTATGTGTATTCAACCAATATGTTGCGACCTACAGAAACGTGGTTATAGGATGGGAACCCAAAGCTTTTCAAGAAAGAAAAGAACTAATCATTTTTATTTCTAATCACGAAGTAAATTAAGGAATTTAAGAATTGATTACACTGGGGAACAAATTTTTTGTTGTACATATGCAAATGCTTAAACTTAACTAATTCGAAAGAGGGTATTTCAAATCTGAAATTAGTTTTGTCCGGAAGGAAAGATATTTTTTCACAAAATTATATCTTTAGTTTATTTTCATCGGAATGTGCAAGTTTGTAAAGAGTGGTTTTTTATACATACATAAACGTGTCTCAGCTTCTTTAGAAACAACACCTGAGACAAAAAAAAAAAATTATGACATTAGCGTATCGCATCAAACTGAAATGTATTATTTTTTCCCTATCACTCCCTACGTAGCAAAACAGTGGCGTCACTTAGTGTATTTTAAAAATACTGGTAAGGAATATATTATAAAACTACATTAAAACTGCAGTTTTTTTAGAGAAACAGATTATATATTTTAAATCAGCATTGCGAGAGTATCTAAGCTCCGTTAAAAAATCTCGTGCAACAGAAGAAAAATTTTTTTCCACAGTGTTATCAATTATAAAATTACTTAGCTTAATCTTATTGCTATTAAACATCACAATTGTTTTTAATACTGTCCCATTTAAATATGAACTCCTACATTAACCATTTATAGTTTTCCTTGTATAGAAAACCTCATTTTTTTTTTTAAATATACGAAAAAGATGAATATTTCTTGTATTTCAAAATTAATCCGTAAGTCATAAGTCTTGCCTGATTAAATCGTTGTGAAACATTAACAGCAAGAAGATTGGAATACTTAGCCATATACATGTANACGAAGTAAATTAAGGAAATTAAGAATTGATTACACTGGGGAACACATTTTTTTTGTACATATGCAAATGCTTAAACTTAACTAATTCGAAAGGGGGCATTTCAAATCTGAAATTAGTTTTGTCCGGAAAGTAAGATATTTTTAAAAAAAATTATATCTTTAGTTCATTCATATACGTGTGTCAGTTTCAAAAAAAATAAAAAATAAAAAACTATGACATTAGCGTATCGCATCATAAACTGAAATGTATTATTTTTTTCCCTATCACTCCCTACATAGCAAAACATTGGCGGCACTTAGTGTATTTTAAAAATACTGGTTAGGAATATATTATAAAACTACATTGAAACTGTAGTTTTTTTAGAGAAACAGATTATATATTTTAAATCAGCATTGCAGCAGTATCTAAGATTCGTTAAAAAATCTAGTGCAACAGAAGAAAGAAATGTTCCACAGTGTTATCAATTATAAAATTACTTAGCTTAATCTTATTGCTATTAAACATCACAATTGTTTTTAACACAGTCCCATTTAAATATGAACACCTACATTAACCATTTAAAGTTTTCCTTGCATAGAAAATCTCAACTTTTTTTTAAAATATACGAAAAAGATGAATATTTCTTGTATTTTAAAATTAATTCGTAAGTCATAAGTCTTGCCTGATTAAATCGTTGCGAAACATTCACAAGAAGATTGGAATACTTGGCCAGATACATCTATAATAGTATTTTGTACTTAGAAATGTGTTTGGAATGTTCAGAATTGTATATTACTTCTGTAAAACAATTAACAACATAAGAGTATAACTTTATAACACATCGTAACTTGTTTAAAACATAAATTTAAAAGTCAAAATTCAATAAATATACTCTAAATACTCACTTTTTAGTGTCTGGACTCGCGACTGATTAAGACCATACGTCCTTATTTGAAGATGGTCCTAAAAGTGCATTATATGGAAACATAAATTTTTACTGACACTTTTTATTTCATTTAATTTGTTTCACTAACAGTTTGTAAGAAATGCGCTACGTTGTCTTTCCTTGTAACAAGTTCGGAACAAAAGTACCATTTTACCAATATCGAAAAGTGTTACCTTTTGTTAATGTTTATTAGTTTCTTTGTAATATCTGTTTTAGTTAAGTAAGGTTTGCATTTAGGACGATATTATATAAAATATAATTCTAAGAATACTTCTTCGGAATGTTATATTATTTAAATTTTGATCATTTTAGACTTAGTATTTCCTTCTATCAAAAATTTCATAGATTTTTTAAACTTTTCTAATTGAAGCAAAGTGTTTTTATAAGTAGGGTGTTATAGATGATTTTTTACTTGATGTGACGACACTTAAACTACTGAACTTAAAACCTTAAGATAACTCGGGCCAAGATAACTCAGCCTGATATAAGAGGTTAATATTTATTGAAGAAATACGCATTATTGAAAAAATAGGCATCTGACTTTATGGGTTCTGTTATTAAATTTTTAATAAGTTAGGGCATATAAAACAATTTTTGGCATTACTTTAAATTCACAGAAACAAATTTTGGAATATCTTTAGAATATTTAGTTGTATTAATTTAAAAACAAATTTTAAATACTCTTTTTGCAAAAAATGAAAAAATATACATGTAATTGCTCTATCATTTACATCCGAAGAAAAATTACACAAAAATTAAACATCACACACAATTTAATATTTAACTTAAAAACACAATTTATCATCGATGCATTTTTTTTTCATACTTCACTTTAAAATTCTTACCTGATTCATTTGAGCCAAAACTTTCTTTAATACACCAAAATCCGAAAAACAGAACAAAATTCATATTCAACAAATAATTTAATAACTTTCCAAACTCATGTAATCCATTCGAAATATCCATTTAAAGCAATTTTATATGAAGTTGTAGGAATGATAATTGAAGATATCCAAAAGAAATCACTAATGCCACAGATTTACGCATGCGCAGTTAAGCTAAAAAGAATTGTTTAAGACGAATTTTGCAGCTTTTCCCTCCGGTTGTAGAACGATAGATGAGCGCTGGACAAACTGCCGACGATTGGACAAAACTCCAGAAGGTGTGCAGATTCGGGATCGGTACACCAGGGGGCAGAGTGTGATGAGGAAGATCAAAAAGATGAGAGGAAAGTAAAGTTGTATCGAAGATATCGTCAATGGAAACTTTTGCTTTGTTCTCTCAGAAAACCGCTGCTTTTGCGGTTCCGTAATTGAAATATTAAAGAAAGGTTCTTTTGGGGATTGCGGTATTTTGGGAGAATAATGAGGTGATAGTTTTTATATTGCAAAAATTCTGCTTTGCATCCTGTATTCTTTCTTTCCAGAAGGTAACGTGATTCCATGAAAAGAGCTGATCGTAAATTTTTATTTAGTGTTGTTATACATAAAATTATTTTTTCATTCTATTGTGCAGAAAAAAAAAGAAAATAGTTCTGAAAGAGATCAGAGAATGGAGATTGAAGTACTTCGCGTTTTAAATATGTAAATAAGATAAAATCGGATGTCTGTGTGCACAAAATAAAAAAAAAATAAAATATCTGAATAACTTTTGAATTAGTACGTGGATTTTCAGGTACTTAGATGCCATCATTATGGTTCAAAAATTTTACCGTACATATACCAGGTACCGTACATATACCAGATCGTCTGTACATATACCATTTGTGCAGACGATCTTTTAATTTACCAAATCAAACAAATATTGTATTTTATCTTAATAATTTATATTTTTATCATCGGATTTACATTCTCAATCCATAAAATATCTGCAATCTCCCAATTGTTGCATAATATAATCCTAATTGTTTAGTCATATGAATAACAGAAAACTTGAGTTCATTAATATTAAAATAATCTTTTTTTTTTTACGCCCGGTGGATGAGTGGTAGCGCTTTATGCTCTCGTGCTACAGATCCTGGGTTTGATCCTAGGATCGGGCAAGGTTGACTCCGCCGACTTTCTTCCCTTCAGTGGGTCGATAAAATGAGTACCAAGTAGGCTTGCGGACTAAACACTGAGGGTTCCACGTTTCGTTGATCATCCAACCGTAACATCTGCTCCTGCACACCAGAGCCCAAGGTCAAGAAAACTGGGATGGGCACAGTAGGCCTCGGTCCCTTTATGAGCTGTCACGACAATGAGTTCAGTTTTACTTTTTTTGCTATGTCCCAAAAAAAATTAAAACGAATAAGAAATTTTTTTAAAATCGGTTACAAAACTTCATTTTTTAAACAGAGGAAAAATAATTTTAAATAATTATTTATTATGTTTTAGTTTACTTATGATAAAAAAAATTTCATTCTACGATTATGCACGTTTTTATTTTATTTTAAATTATTGGTCAAATAGCTCTCAAAAAAACTTTAAGATAAATATCGACTTTTTGAAGAATTATTACAAAGCAAATATCCTGCGATTTCTTTCAAATTTTAGATTTGGTTATTCAAAATAATATAATTTTAAATCATATAAAGATCTGGTTACAATTCAAAATCTGTGAATCATTATTAAGTTCAATAATAAAAAAATAGCAGGAAATTATAAGAAAAAAATACTTAAGCTCTGATTTTGCTTATCTTATAATTCTGGGATTTCCATATCACTGAAGATGCTTTATACCAAGAGACAAAAATAATTACTTCGCGAAAACTAAAATTAATTACAAAGGGTTCCAATTTGATAAAAATACCTAACTAGACTTTTGGCACCGTATTTTCTAAATTTCTCTCCCCTTTTTTGTAGCAAAAATCAAAATTTTTGCAGCTAAATTAAGATATGTTTGATTTCGTTGCTTAATTTACCGTTTATGCATACAATTTAGCAAATTTGAGATTAACCTTGTATAAGGAACAATAAAATTTCCGCCATTACGTCAAAAATTATTCAGTTATTTTTTAACAGCATGTTAAATGATTGAAAATTTTTTTGGTGACTGTCATACCTTCAACGCTACAGTATTTTGCACGAAATTAAGCCACCTTGGTTTTATGTCATAACTGAACTCAAATTAAACTAATATGAATCAAAAATGTATATATTAAAAATGTGTATTATTATCAAAAATGCGTATTCGATATCACTTATAGCTCAATATAAAACTTTTATCTTACTTTTATCTGATTTAAGGAAATAAATTTCAAATACTTAACATAAAAAAGAAATATTTGTTGTTGAAATATTGTAAAAAGTAATATACATGTTATTAAATAAAACTCACCACAAGCTCACTTTATGAGCGGTGGAACAAAACTAAGACAATTAATCAATTCTTTACAATTGGGTATACTATAGCCTACGTCACAGATCGTGTTATTCCTACTAAATTTAACTAGTAAACAGCATTTTCTACGAACCTGATTTCTAGCAACAATTTAAAGCATCAAACGAAGTGTCTTGTTATAAGTCGCTACTCGCCAGGTTGGAATTGTATTAGTCTAGTTCCTTTGGAAATAATTTATATTGTTGTTTTACCGAAGTTTAGGAACTTAGTAAGCATATTTAAAACTAAGTTTATTAATTAAACTAAAAGGTAAATGTCATTCCTAGTAAGTGGAAGTAGTTGTGCTTTTTTCATATTTTACCCAATTCTATTAAAGATTAAAAATTTGAAAACGATATAATAATCGATATGAAAAATACTAAATAATAATCACGCTTAAAAATATTCAAACAATACGATTATTGAAATAAAAAACTCAAAATAATAATCATGCTTAAAAATATGCAAACGATATAATAATCGATATAAAAAATACTAAATAATTACTAAATAATAATCATGCTAAAAATATTCAAACAATATAATAATCTAAACAAAAAACACTGATTAATAATCATGCTTAAAAATATGCGAACGATATAATAATCGATATAAGAAACGCTAAATAGTAATCCTGTTGAAAAATATGCAAACGATAGTTCTCTTGTGCAAAACTTTACACATGTATTTACAAGGTGTAACTCATTTCTTGTGGCACATGGACCTCCTCCAGACTTTGACGCGGACCTAGATTTGTGGAATCCTTTCCTACTCCACCTGGAAGGAAAAAAAAATTTCATAAGAAGAAAATGAGGAGGAAAAGCGTCCCACAGAAGCAAAGTACTTCTGATTTGAGCCAAAATATCTGCCTCATTTATATAAGTTTCAAAATATGCAATGTTGCTTACAATTTGTCAATGTCTGGAAGGCAGTAGCATCAATATCATGCGTGGTTCACAGATTGAAACTGTACTTTTTCTTTTGTATAAATATCCATACTGAGAATATTCCTCACGTTTTCTTGAGGATTGGGGTAATGGTAAGGAGTCGGTCGAAAGCAAGTTAACTTGTGGAGTGCGGCGTCAGTCATCGGATACTGGCAGTACAAAATAGGAAACAAAACTAAAAAAATTACATTGACATTGTTTTAAGTAATTACTAAAAGTTGATTTAAAAGCTACTTAGTTTTTTTAATTTATTTCAATCTGTTAATCGTGCGCTTCGCATTGCTGCACCAAAATACGAACGCTTCGAAACAACACGCTCGGCCTTATGGGAATTTCCATAATAATACGTGCGGCACTCAATAAGTTTATAGAAGCCGAATAAAAAGCGTGTAAACATATTTTATCAGTAAAATATTTGTATCAAAAGCAAAACCACCCTGTAGCCACGAAAAATATTTCTTTTTCCTTTAACTAAACTGTGACTTAAAAAATTATATTGCTCAGTTTCGTAACGAAAAAAAGTCTCAAAGCATGAATCTTATCCAATTTTTAAGAACTTCATTTTAAAATATTTTTCAAAATATCTGGTATTGGAAATTTTATTCACAAACGCAAATGAAATTCTGGTTTTGAAATGTACTTCCGGCTTTTTTTAAAAAAAAGCAAGAAAAACAGAGAATTTTTTAAAAGTTTTGCTTTCTTCCTTATTAAGAGTTTATGGACAATAAAATACTTTTTGTTCTTTTTCCTGAACAATTTAGATAAGCAAGCAGTTTCAAAGCTTCCACTTGTTTGCTTTAATAGAGGCTCTTTTAGTGATGAAGGACATGTTCTGTTTTTGGAAAGACTCCAAATTTCGATAAGTTATTTTTTCTTTCTTTTTTTTATTAGAAAAAAGTGTTAACGAAAAATTCACGCTTGTCTGTAAATCTAGAAAAGCTTAGGATTTCACTGTGAAAAGTGTTATAAAAAATATACATAATTTTTTTTTTAATATTTATGTTAAAAAATATAAGAAAATATGTAGTAAAAGAGAATAAAAGCGTTTAAGTTTAAAAAATAATAAATTTCTAATTTAAAGTTTTTTTTTATTATTATTATATAAAACGGAATTATTTATCATTCGGGAAAGAAGAAATTTTATAGTTTTCACATTTTTTCGAGGTAAAAATAAATACCTATTTAATTGGATATTTTTTAATTACCTACTCAGAGTTTTCCATAAACACATCCTATAAAATATATTTCTTAAATCCTCCGAAAAATCCCACACAAAAAGTCTAAAATTAATATTGAGGTGTAAAAAACTACAAAAACTTTATCAAAATATCAAAATCTGTTTTATAAAAAAAAGTAACAATAAAAGAAATAAAAGAAAGTAATGATAAAAGAAAGTTGGGTAAAAATCACAAATCTAGTTTGATCGCAGTATGTAATTTGGAAGTGTTTTTAATAATCATCTTTCAACTTTCCGCTCTATCAAACAGGGCTAAACGTTTTCAGCCGTACCTTCCTCAATAGTGATTCATTTGATGTCGATAACGTGTTTTCTTTTCTAGCATTATCTTAGAATTTGAACCTCCATGTATTTGTAAGCTAATTAATTTTTGACATGTTTTGACTTAATTTTTGGCAAGGGATCTAAAAATATACATTACAGACAGTGATTATGGAACATCCTGTATACAGAATATGATCATTTTGATCAGTCAGAATCTATTGATTATCACAGTATCCATAAACGTATTAGTTACGCACATTAGTTAATTTTTGCTATTTTTTAAAATTATTTTTTGTCAAAATTACATAA